CCTGGAGCCTGCTTCAGATTCTGTGTCTCCCACTCTCTTTCTCTCTCTCTCTGCCCCTGCTTCGGATTCTGTGTCTCCCTCTCTCTCTCTCTCTCTCTCTCTCTCTCTGTCTCTCCCCCACTTGTGCTCTGTCTCTCTCTCAAAAATAAATAAAATGTTAAAAAAAAAAAAAAATCCCTGCAACGGGTTGAGTGGAGAGAGAGCAGGGTGCTGTTCTCTTGTGGTGGAAGGTGTCACTTTTCAAGAATCCTTCACTGTGGCAAGAACCCACCTTTTTGTTTCTCTCTACATAGGCTGTTTCCTCCCCAGCCTTTGCTCTTGCAAATCCCTTGTCTGGAATGTTGTCTCCCATCTCTGAACATCCAAATGCTCTGGTCTCTTTCCCTCTCTGAGCCCTTCAATATGGAGTATTTGATGTGATCGTGCCTGCCTTCCCCACTGGACAGACTGCGAATACCTCAGTGGCAGGCAGGGACAGGGTTGCATTTGCCTCTTCCCAGCCCTTTGACACTCATACATGCTTGATGAATGGAAGGTGTTTTTCCAAAAAGGCCTTATCTCTTGAGATGCCTAGGCCTACTTGTCATGGCAATGCCCCAACCCCCTCTTTAACCCCCACCCTGGCTTCCAGACTACGGCCCTCTGTTCACGGTTCCCTCCTCACTCTGTGGCCCAGGCTCTGGCACTGGCTAGCTGGGTCATCTTTGGCCAGGCTTTGACTCTGTCTGTGCCTTCCCCTATTCTCAGCTATAAATGTGGCACAGGACAGTTGCTCCCTAGGGCCCTTGTGTGCTCTTCCTCTTCTTGCCCTGGTCCCTAGAACCCCTTGATTCTGAGGCCGCACAAGGCTAAACACTTCCACATGGCCATCTCCAGTCTTGGCATGGGCAAGTTAGCCCACAGGGATCCAGAGCTACTGCTGTGGGAGAGATAAGGGGAGGCAAGGCCTTCTAAGTCCAGAACTGCTGCCAGATGTTGATGCTTGGAGCCAAGGCTTTGTCTCACCTGAAAATAAGGTTTGCCTGTTAGGCCCTGGCCTGGCTTCAGTTGGCAGCTGTTGCCAAAGAAGGTAGGTAGCTCATTGGTCCTGGATACTTACAGCTCCTTTCAGCTCTATCTGCTTGTGTGCAAAAGTGCAAGTAACAATGGTAACCTACTTTACAGGGTCCTTATGAGGATTAATAAGGCACTGCATGTAAACAACTTAGCACAGTGCCTGCTCAGAGAAAGCTCCCTATGAATGTGAGCTATTACTTCACCGAGACTCAGGAAACCAAGTGTCTGATCCAAGATCACAGAGTTAGATAACTGGAAGAGTAGGGATGCAAAAATCAGGACAGCATCAGACCCTATGCTCTGCTGCATTCACAAAAGAGACCCCTCTCTGGTTGTGACACCAAGCTCCCTGATGTCTTAGGGTTGGGTCACACATGCTCTTGACCTCTCCCTTGAGTTGGCACCTCACCTCAGAGTTTACTAGCACTTTCTTGTTCAAATCAACCCTGAGAACAGGAATCTTTGCCTTTCCCCTCCCCCACTCAGGAAAGCAAACTGAAGCCCAAGGCACTAAATTTCAGTCTTGGTTTCTGCCCCAAAGAAACTCAGGCCACCTGAGGGCAGAAGGAACCAGAGGGTCAAGAACTACTGCAAGACAAAACGCTGACCCTGGGAGGCCAGGGTAAGGGGCACACCCATTGCTCTGTGCTCTGGGCCAGGTCCCGGCCCTTCTAGGCCTCAGTTACCCCAGAGCTCCGGGAGGGGACGGGATCTCCTAAGGCGGCTCCAGCAGGACTTTTCGCTTCTGGGCAAGGTGCCGCCCTTGCCTCGAAACCAGGACCCTCCCACCATGACCGCTTTCAGAGCTGACTGGGGTCCCAGCCCTAAGAGTATTAGGAAATCCCAAGTGACCGGGGCTGGGGATAAGCGGCCAAGGCGGGAGTGTATACACCTGGCCAGGTGTCGCTCAAAGCCCTATAGCCCGGCCCGTGGCGGCGGTCGGCCCAAGGTCGCGCGGCCGGACCCTGCCCGCGCTAGGGCGGAGTCCCCCTCGTTCCCCGGGGTGAGGGCTGGGCCCTCGGGGAGGCACTGACCGGGCTCGAGCGGCGGCCCCGCTGCCTCCGCCTCCGTCCTCATGACCCGGGCCGCGCGGGGTGCCCATGGCCCCCGCCCGGCGCCGGCTGCAGCTTCGGCTTCGACTGGGGCGGGAGTGGGGCCGGTGCGTGTCAGGTTCCTCCGCCGCCGCTGCCGCCGCCACTGCCACCGCCACCGCGGTGGGGAGAAGAGGAGGCGGTGGCAGGGCCGCCCCAAGCCCCGCCCCGCCCCTTCCAGGATTCGGGTCAGGCCCCGCCCCTTTCATAAACCCCACCCCTTCCCTGCCTCAAGGAGGCCCCTCCCCTTCTTTTCCCCTCCCCCGACTTCTATTCCTAGAGGCCCCCGGCCTCAGGATCTAAGCGGGTCCTGGCTAATGGCAATGTCAGCTCCCTGTGACCCCGCCCCTTTCCCCTCCACCACGCACAGGCGCGCAGGCCCTTCCCTGCCTCCGTTCCCCGGAAGCTCCGCCCTTTTTCTTGAGCACGGCCCCGAAGCCCTACCTTTCCGCGAGCCTTGGTTCCCCAGAGACTCTTCATCTTCGCAAACTCAGTCTCTTCTCAGCTGCAGTTTCTTTGCTAGCCTAAGGCCAGGTCTTACCCGTACACCGCGGGGTTCAAGAAGACCTAACACTACTGCGACTCGCTGAGGGCCGGCTCTGGGTCGGCCCCAGCTCTACTCTCTATACCTGTTTCTCTACTCGTATGGTGAGATACCTCGCCTGAGGGCTCCCCTTACCTGGCAGTGCCGGTTCCAAAGGTTAAATTGTGAGGGGAGGTCCTGGCCCTCGGCCCCTCCACCTGTTGCCCCCGATCCGAGAGCCTAGGTCCCGGATCCCCGTCTCACAGTCCATCCTGTCCCTGGTGTGAGGTGTTTGGAAACGCGAGTTCCCCATCCCCCCCTTGCCGCCCCAGGATCAGTGTTTCCGGCGACACCTGGGCGCCGTCACCAGCCCTCTCTTCCGGGGCCGGAACTATCGTACCAGAGTCCACGTTTCCCGGTCGGTAGGGTGAGGAGGAAGCAGAGGCAGGACCGCGCTCACCACTACGAAAACGAAAGGGGCGGGCTCTGCGCGCAGCATTTTGGGAACGCGTGGTATTCTGGGAGCGCGGGACCCGCCATTCCTTGGCTCACACCTTCGCAGTTGCTTGAGTTGCTGCCACACGGGAAAGGAAGAGTAGGCCGGAGCCGGTGAGGTGAGGCTTGGGGCAGGCGAGGGTAGACCGAAGCACTTGTGAGGGTTCTGGGGCTGGAGAAGCACGCGCCGCCGAGGAGCTCTGGGAGGCTCGGGTAGAGAGAAGAGCGGGAAGCCCGGGTCACTCAAACATCAGCGTTGCCTCGCTAGCGCCTGGAAGTTCGTTCACTTTTCCCCAAAGTACATGCCCTTCGCGTTCTGTACTTCTCCAGGCCATGTTTTTTTCCCGAACATACAAGCAGTAGTGTTGAAATCATTTCTGGCAGACTTCCTTCGCCCAACTCCCATCTGGGTAATATTTTTCAAAGTTGTTTGCATCTCTGCCTCCATCCCCTTTTCAGGCACTTATCCTCTCAATATTTTCCATATTGTTACAGAAGTTTTATCAAGTTTCCTTGCTCCTAAACTGTGTTTGAAAAAAATAAGCTGTGTTTGATCCATTTTGTAAGTGCTTCTGCCTTTATATTGGGTCATTCCTTACCTATAATCCTGCAGTAGTTCCCCACTGTTTCAGCATAAAATCAGACTCCTGAGGCTCCTCACCAAGGGTGACTGTCTTTCCTACCCTCATGTTCCCTTTCCTCTCTTGAACACACATGATGTATTTTAACCTTCGGTACTTGCTCATCTGGGAATACGAAATCTACTGCTTGTCTCTGAGTTGTATCAAGTCAGGTGATTGCCCTGATTATGTTTCTCCTCCAAGCATTTCCTGCTTATGGCTGTTGTCTCTTTGTGAACACTTTTGCTTTTAACCTTGAATACGTAAGTGGAGGGTCAAAGAGTACTTAATGGGTTGAATTAAATGCACAGCCCCTTCTAGATTTGCCTGGGTCCTTTTGTCTTTACTGCACTGCCCAGTACTGTAAGCACTAGCCACATGTGACCATTGACCACTTGAAATGTGGCTAATGTGACTGAGGGAGTAAATGTTTCGTTTTCATTTTATTTCACTTTAAGTTTAGTTTAAATAGCTACATGTGGACCGTGGCTACTGTATTGGCAAGGTCTACATCATGGGTTCTCAAAGTGGTGTCATCCACATCTCTGGGTTGCCAAAAACATTGTATGGCATTTACATCTCAGCTCCCTGATGTACTGTGTACACACACAGTATTGGTTACTGATTATCTGATGAAGATAAAGGGGCATATGGTAGCATGGAGGGAGATGGAAGGTGCTTTCTTCTCATCCCATTAGCCTTCCCTCTCTCCAGCCCCCCATCCTTCCCCATCCCACATAAGTTCTTCAAGCTAGGAGTTAAGCATTTTTTCTGTACAAAATGGCAGCTTTGGCATTCTTACTAAGTTTGATGGAGTGTCAGGCCTTAAGGGAGGCATGATATGTGCCACATGACTTCTCAGGCTCTGAAAGATGAACTAACTGGTGTCTCTCTCACTGTAGAACTCTTTTCCTGCCAAGATGTCTATTGGTGTGCCGATTAAAGTCCTACACGAGGCTGAGGGTCACATCGTGACATGTGAGACAAACACCGGCGAGGTGTATCGTGGGAAGCTCATTGAGGCGGAGGACAACATGAACTGCCAGGTATCCTGCTTTCCACATGAGGTTATGGGGGAAGCTTGGGCCTCCCTATTGGAGCACAGAAAGATAGTGGTTGGAGGTCTTTTTGAAGTCCTTCTTGTCGAACGGTTATTTATGGAGTGCCTGGTGTGTGCCAGGCACTGTTCTAGGTGTGGTGATGTGAGCATAAATAAGAGCCATTTGGAATATTTAACTTTGCCCTTTGTTTTCTCCATCCTATAATCATTTCCCATATTTTGAGGACTTGTTTAAGAGAAGTGGCACTACTCCCTCTGGTAGAATTCATCAGATTCAGGGCCATTTTCCTTTTGCCCCTACATGCTTGCATAATGCTTTGCAGTTAGCAGAAGCTTCCACTCTTTCTTGGAGGATGAGTCTCATTTGATTATAGCAACTATCTTGTGAGGTAAGCAGGTTCAGTGATAGTTTTGTCATCCATAAAATAGGATAATATTAAAAGACTCATCTTTTGAATGTCCTTCTGCTAATAAATGTTGGAGCAGCTTCCTGATACCGTGCCCTTCCCGTGGCACCACTTTGCATTTTGCTAATAATCACATGAATTTCTATAGCATATCTTTTGCAAGGTATATCAGCACACTTTCTCCTTCATTCTTTAAACCATCAGTTCAGAACTTTGGTTTTAGAATCAGAGGTGTAGGGTTGGATCCTAATTATCTGACTTTAATCATGCTAATTGCCTCAGTTTCCTCATCTGTGAAATGGGACATAGATACCAAGACAGAATTAGTTGTGTGAGAGATTTATTGGGGGAAATGACAATGAAGGATAAAGGAGAGGGAGTAGGAGTAGGCAGGAGAGCTTTCAATCTATACTGGTCTGGTGCTGGGGAAAGGGAGAGGGAAAAGATAAGACCGAATGGGAAGAGGCTTAGACGGTAGCATATCTCTGAAGAAGTCTCAGCCAACAAAGTTTGCTCATTAGAAGAAGTCTAAGCCTAAGAATTCTAGCATGGGGCAGAAACAGCCTGGCTCTAGGATGCCCACCGTGACCAGTCATTGGCTGGCAGTCTGGGGAGACTGACTTCAGGGCAAAAGCTGTGATTGATCCTACAGGTGGAAGCTGGAGGCTTTCAGCTCCCTCCATGCCTCATAGCCTGACAACCCTTGAGGGGAGATCTGAGCAGTGCATTCTGAAGACTGCCACAGGGATAACACACCCTGGGGCCATTCTAGAAATCAAATGAGTTGTGTTGTGTGCAGCAGCTAGTTCTTTGCCATGCACGTTATACATATCCACATATGGTTCCTGTGAATGTTTTTGATGTGAGAAAACTGAAGGTCGGAAAGAGAAAGTGACTTACCCAAGGTCACACTGCAGATCAGGTGTACTAACTGTCATTGCTTCACAGGGTTCATTCATTTATTTGTGATCTCATCGTAGCTTTGAGCATCATCTTCCTGCCACCTTGACCAGCAAGTGAGGCCATTTCCCTGGTATTCAGGGAGATAGACACCTAGTGATTGCAGGTTTCTCTATTCAGTGTTTTTGTTTGTTTTAATGTTTATTTTTTGAGGGAGAGAGTGGTGGAGGAGAGGGGCAGAGAGAGAATCCCAGGCAGGCTCCGTGCTGTCATGCCCATGCAGGGTTCAATTTTATGAACAATGAGATCATGACCTGAGCCAAAATCAAGAGTTGGATGCTTAACTTAACCACCTGAGCCACCCAGGCGCCCCTCTCTCTTCAGTGTTGATGCCATATGGGCAGATGATGTCGACTCTCTAAAGGTCCTGTGGGGCCTTGCCTACCTTGTCTTTGTGACATACCCCTGTCATAGATCCAGTCCTCTGGTTTAAGCCATCCCCATCCATTTTAAGATACTTTATTTTGGTGAGTTAGAATGCAAGACTGGGGGTAGGGAATCTTAATGTTTTTATCCAGCTGCTTATTTGGACAACTCCTGAGCTTCCAGGGCCTCAGACTTCCCATTTGTAACATGAGGATGTCTGACCAGATCACCTTGGTGATCTCTCACATGTGGACAGTGTGATATAAAACATAGAGCCAGGTGATAGATCTCAAATCAGGTTGCAGCTTGCTATCTTATGTGACTTGGGGCGAGCTGTGCACCTCTCACCCTCTGTTCCCTCCTTTCGAAATCAGGGATAAAAATAGCACCTCAGCCTCAGCATTATAGTGCAGAATAAATGAGTGAATGTACGTCAAATGGTGGGAGCCAGCCACTTGCTTCCCACCTATGTTAATCTGCTAGGGCTGTCATAACAAAGTTTCACACTGGGTGGCTTAAACCAGCACATTTATTCCCCCAGGGTTCTGGAAGCTAGAAGTTAGAGACCATGATGTCACATGGTTGGTTCTTCTGAGGGCCATGAAGGAAGGCTCTGTTCCAGGCCTCTCTCTCCTTGGCTTATAGATGCTTCTCTTCTTCATGTATCTTCACGTGGTTTTCCTTTTGTGTCTGTTTCCTGTGTTCCATCTTATGAGAACACAAGTCACATTGAATTAGGGCCCAGTTACCTCTGTAAGGATCCAGTCTCTAAATATGGTCACATTCTAAGATCCTGGGGGGTTAAGACTTCAACATATGAATCGGGGGTGGCTAGGATTCAGCCCATAACACCACCCATGCCCAGATGCCGAGGCTTCACTGAGTTTACCTAAGCCTGGCTCACTGAGTAAAACCAGTAGGCTGTGGCATAGCTAAATATACCATAGTAAACATAGCACAGTTCATTCACACATTCCCGGGATGTGTAAGCCAGTGGCTCCTGCAATACCTGCTGCTTTCCTTCCTTCCTGGCCCCAGTTAGTCTGCCCTTTGAGGGTGAGAGCATCCTCTTAGCACTTGCTACCCTTTGCTAGAGGGCAACTGGAGTTTAGTGTTTGCCATTTGATGTTGGGTTTTAATAGCATTTTTTATTGTAAAAGTGTGGTGGGTCACACACTACAAAGATTTGGAAACCAAATGAGAGAATCTCCCCACAACCACAATTGGCATGGACTTTTTTCCCCCTAGGGATGTGTCTTGGGTTTCTAGTATGTATTTTTTACTCTGCTTTCAAAAAAAATTAGAGGTGGTTCACAAAAAAACTATATGGTAAGGTAAAAATGGACAGATAGGTCAAGGTACAGGTAACCTGGGGTAGACTGTAAAATGAAGCCAGCCAGGCAGTTAGTACCCAGAAATGTAAACGTGAATCCCTGTACATTTAATAAAGGTACATTCTGTTCTAAGCTACTTAAGAGTCCTGACAGAGGGAAATCAGCAGTTCTGAAATGCATGGTGTCCTTAAGATAAAATACCAGTTGTGCAGTTTTCCCTGGTGCTTGGATGTGGGAGACATTTTCCCCCTGGGCCTTAATGAAAGAGATATGGTCTTATACCATTATATAATGTTGTCAACAACGTCTCCAGACAAAATACACCTTGGGGCGCCTGGGTGGCTTAGTCAATTAGGCATCTGACTCTTGATTTCAGCTCAGGCCATGATCTTACAGTTCATGAGATAGAGCCCTGTATTGGGCTCTGTGCTGATAGCACAGAGCCTGCTTGGGATTCTCTCTCTCTCTCTCTCTCTCTCTCTCTCTCTCTCTCTCAAAATAAATAAATAAACATTAAAAAACAAAATAAAATGGGGCGCCTTGGTGGCTCAGTCAGTTGAGTGTCCGACTTCAGCTCAGGTCATGATCTCACGGCTCGTGAGTTCAAGCCCCATGTCGGGCTCTGTACTGACGATTCGGAGCCTGGAGCCTGCTTTGGATTCTGTGTCTCCCTCTCTCTCTGCTCTCCTCCACTCACTCTGTCTCTCTCTCTCTCAAAAATAAATAAGCATTTAAAACAAATTAAAAAAAAAAAACAAGAACAAAATAAATTACACCTTCTTTTTGGGTTCCTTGGGTATTTTTAATGTAGCCTGTTACCACAGCCCTTATTTGACATTGAAAATGTAACATATGCAAGCGTTAATCCTATGATGAGCTCCCTGAGATGGTGCTCATAGGGTCAGAGGGTGTAGATGCTTCTTGGCATCTGAGGTTTGGCTGGAAAGGCTGGGAGCCTTGTCCTTCTCTTCTGTACCCCACAGCTGCAGGGCAGGCATGATCGTCTAGCCAGTGCTGTAGAATGTGGCATCATTATGGGTGACAGAGCCCTGCACGTGCTGCTGCGAGCATCTTCTATTGGCCCTGTGTGTATGGGGTGAGAAAGGCCTCTGTGGCTCTCCATGTAGTCTTGAGCTGATTTTTGTTTGTAGCAGAGATGGGACCTGATCCTGTCTCTTGCTCAGCCTGGTGATTTAATGCCAGAGGCCCCCAAATGGGAAAGTTTCTGTTTTGGTTATGTGTACTTAACCATGGTTTTGAAGCATCCTGTCTTTATTAAATGTTAAGGAGGGAACAAGGGGATTTTTCTTCAAAGTAAAAAAATATATGTTTCTTAAGAAATAACCTTTCTAGTTAGATACTTGGTAAAATATTAAAAACAAAAAATGAGTTTAAGGTGAGGAATTATGAGTTGAAATAAGCACATCATTTTGATTTTATAGACTATATGTAACCTTTGGGGGGCAAGTTTTATGGCTGGATTTTGTTAGGTATCCAGTGTGAGGTGTCCCTAGAGGTTCTTTTGTAGAGTCTTAGTGAATGCTAGACAGGTTCTCCCAGCTCGGCAACAGTCCGTATTCAGACATTTAGTGCATCTCATCATTTTTTTTATGATGGAAGTTTATATTTAAACATACAAATAGCTTTTACAGTAGAAATGTTAATTTTCCAATTAAAAGTGGATGACCCAAGTCAAAAAATGGCTAATTAACAGAAGAAAATATGTGAAGTGGACATTTGACATCTAAAAATAATGGCCTTATTATCAGACACGCAAATTGGGGAACAATAAGAATTTCTAAACTTAAAAGATGGCAAAATAAAATGAATAATTCTACCAAGGGTTCCTTACTAGTTTGCCAGTAGAAGTATAGATATGTTAAATGTTTAACATACGTCAGTATAGAAGCAATAAGCAC